CTGGAAATGTGAGGGAGAGGGCCAGGGGACCCTACTGACTTGGTTAGTTATATGATTGGGAATGCCAGTCCATCTAACGTGGCTCTGATGTCACAGTCAACATCGTAACCCTGCTGTGTGCACTATTGATCCACCTGAACTTATGGACTATGCTCCAAATATCTGAAGTGACCTGTTGTCTATGAAAACTAATGCTATAATAAACTTGTTGGTTTTAATGGTGCCATGCGACACTTTAATCTTCTGTTCAGTGAGGTAAGCTGGGTTGAAGAGAGGAGGTCCTTCAAAGCTAAGTGGGGGCCCCTTCTGCGAGTTCCTACCATTCATGGATGACAGATCCTAGACCCAGCCCAATGCATCTGTTAATTTTTAAGCAGATAACTACTTTTTAAAGAAATCAAGCAAACAAATAAAATTTGTGCAAAGAGCCAAAAGAATTAAAATATGGCCACTGTAGGATCTGAGAAACCAAAATCCAATTCTCTAAAACAAAGTGAAACCTTGGCATCATCCACTGCCATTTGCTCCAGTAATGGCATGCTATCATGTTCTCATTCTTTTTGGAGTTCCAAATTTGGAACTGTCACAAAGAATAGGGCTTTAAGGCAGAAGTTTGAGCAGGTTTTGTGATCAATAATGAATGTTTCAGAACTTAAGGACGGGACATGGCTTAATACAAGTCAAGGTCATCAGAGCATATGGGCTGCAAGGTTTGGTTATGGCTATTGTGGAAAACCCACTATATATTATGCAACTTTGCATTGCAGAAATGAAAAGAGGCATTCTTAAGTTTGCTTTGAATTTATTTATTTATTTATTTATTTATTTATTTTTTATTTATTTATTTATTTATTTATTTATTTATTTAATATCCTGCCTATCTGGTCTTGTGACCACTCCCACCACCATATGTAGAAGTCTTTTCCACCTAAATGCAGACTTGTGAGGACTGATTGTGGTCATTCAGTAATCAAGGAATGGCACTCTACACATTACTCGTGGGCCCTCTGTCCTTCACAAATCCTTATGCTAAGCACTGCTACTAAAACCATTTCCAGAGCTGAACTCCGAGAGTTAGTGTCAGCCTAAAAAAGAATGAGGAATTTGATTAAGATGTTGGCTGAGGTCTGATGCTAGCATATCCATTTGGGAGCCTTCCTCATGATTTGTACTACCAACTTCAAATTCCTAGCCAGCAAAAGCTATGATCAGGGATGATGATGGGACTTTAAAATGTCTGGACGGTGCCAGGTTGCAGGAGATTGCATCTTCTTCTGCAGAGTGCATGTGAACAGTTGATGCAGAAAAACAAAAGTCTACAGTTATTACACCACAGCAGGATTCCAATGCTGAGTAAGAGATTTAAAAAGAAGAAGTAGAAGAAGAAGCTGGTTACTCTTTACAAGTCTAGTAGAGGAATCAGAACATTTTTAGTGCTATGATGTAACATCTCTTTTGCTTTACCATTAAGGATTACATTGGACTCATTGCTTATCTTTCAATACAAAGAAAGTAATGTTAAGTAAAGTGAATTTACAACACTCTTGGCTCATTCACTGTGCTATTCAGAACATGTTTCGTAACTTAGTAGACATGCGTTTTTGCATAATAACCACCTACGACTTAACTGATGGGTCACTTTTTAGTTCCTATATTTTCAGGCAGTTCAATCTAGTGGAAAAGTTTGCTTCTTTGCTAGAGATCAGTGGCTACTTCTATGATTTAAAAAATATTCATGCTAGGTTGCCATGGCAACAGTACTGGGTACCTCCTGTGATGTCACTGGTGACAAGTGATTATTTGTAAAGACTAAGGATGTTCATAACTACTATGTTTCATGTAACCCTGAAACATAGCAGGGGAAACAGACCACCTTTTCTAGACCAGAACATCTCATCAGTTTAATAATACAGTACAGTATTTTAAAGTTAATGTTTACAGAATATTTGTGCTTCTTCTGCTCTACTCACTTTTGTCTTTTAAGAGTTTTCCTACACAAATAGCTCCTGAGACAATTTCAGTTATGCTCAATTTGAGCTAGCCACAACTGCTTTCAGAATTTTCTTGTTTTTCAAAAATTCCAAAGAAATGTAGGCTAAAGTCCTAGCCCATGTGTTTTACACTGGACAAGCAGATTGGCACAAATCTGGGTGGTGAACTGCTGCAAGTTAAGGAACCAGTAAAGACTTTTGTTGAATCACATGGCCAGAGTCCATTGAATTTGTACAGCTAACAGGATAACATGCTTGAATCAGGGCTAACAATAGGAATGTGATACTGTTGTGTTTGCTCACTTTTTGTCTACAGATAGCTAAATGTAAACAGTGTCTTCCCTTGAACAGAATAGTGCTTTTGCACTAATGGGGCGGTATATCAGGATTGCCCCTTCCCTTTTATACTTTTGAAAAAAAACTGAAGACCCATCTATTCAGGCAGGCCTTTAACAGTTATAACTGAATCCTTGAACCCCATTTTAGCAGATAGCTTTAATCTTTTCATGTTTTCATGTTTTAATCTTTTATTTTGATCCATATATTGTTTAATTTGTCATTTAATATTTGACTTAATTGTGTTACTTGTGTGAATTTTAATGTTGTGAGCCGCTTTGGGTCCCTTGTTGGGAGAAATGTGGCATATAAATAAATAAATAGATAGATAGATAGATAGATAGATAGATAGATAGATAGATAGATAGATAGATAGATAGATAGATAGACAGACAGACAGACAGACAGACAGACAGATAAATAACAGCAATATTGTGATCTTGTTAGTAAGTTCAAGTTAAGGATTTTAGCTGAAATATATAGCACTTTGTCCATTATCAACGAACGATCCTGTACCACACAGAAAACTTAAGAATTCTATGGACTCAAGTTGAGGAAAAGGCTATCCTTTCAACTGATTATGAACATGATTTGTATGTACTCCTTAGTTTCCAATATTCACAGAATATTACTGAAAGGCAATATTCACAAGACAAGAAGCATAGAAGTAAAGATGGAATCTTTAAAGGCAATTAACATTCCTATTTTACTTGCACATCCCCCATTGCTACAACAAAATATGTTATTAAAGATCTACTCTTTCAAAATTTGTTTTTGCAGGAAGCAAATTAGGCTTAGTTCTAGGCTTTGAGGCTGGGGTTTTACATCACATTTCACAATCTTGGTTAGCAGCATAGTAGAAGATACATTCACAAGAAGGAGCACATTGCATTGCATTATAATTTGTATTGCTTCAATTTCTATGGATACACACAAATGTTTTTATTGGTCTCATGTCTGAGATATGAATTTTTAAAAAGATGTAGCATTTATGAGGTAGTACTGTATGTTCACAGAAAGATAAATGTCTCCTGCAGAGAAACAGAGGTGTCTTCAGGGTGTTTAAAAGGGGACAAGATTTTCTGTAACACCCTGTTGTAAACACCACCAAAATTAGATGTCTTCTCTGGAAGATCCTATAACAGGGAGTATGAAGAAGTTCCTACAGGAACTTGAGATGGAAGATTAATGTCCTGTGAGAATATTCACTTAAGGATAGAAGAGTTTACAACCCTTCCCCAAGCTATGTCTTTATTTACATTGACTATATCAAATGCCCTTTTTTTTCTTGTTCCAATTTATATATTTACAGCAAGATTTTACAAACATTTAAATTCTTAATATAAGTTCCTGTAAGCTTTACAGAACACTTGCCTTCAAAATTCAGACTAAGACTATACTGATGACAGGAACAAGTCTTACACAAGTTCTTGAGCTGGTGAGTAGACTGGGTGAGAAATAATGTTGATTATATTGTTCTCATGGATGTCTACAATTGTTTTCTTTAGTAGTCTGGTGATTTTGCATTAAGATTTTTAAAAAAAGTTTTTTACTTGCTTGCATGGGACAGCTGAGAAATGTAAAAGAATGTCTGTGAATGGAACTGCAGTTGGTCAGTCTGGTCTGTATGGTTCCTGGCTGGAGCATTACTGGTGTGTGCAAGAGAGTTGGAACTGTGGATTAATTAGTACTGTCAGAGTAAGACTGGTGCATTCAGATAGAGTAAGAGCTGGACAAGCTGTCAAAATTGTGAGTCAAACATGTTGTAAATAAAAGTGTGGGCTTGCTAATACTTGCATCAAAGCCTGTATCTGTATCTACAAAGAACTGAATATATTTTAAGTTATGAAGAAGGCTTTTGATTTTATATTAAAAATTTGACACCTTGAACAGAGGCACTGTTTTTACATATTACTTTTAACTCTAAACTGAACCTTTTTCTTCATGGTCTCCACAAAGGCACACAAATGGGTTAACCTCTGTGCATGCACAAATATTCCTGCTTTTTAAAAAAAACCAAAATTCTTATTTACAAATGCTGCTTATTGTTTTATAGATAACACTCACAAGATATTAAACCTATGTATACTGCTAGTCAGTGTGATGACATGTGGCTAGTGTGATATCAACACAGTAAATGAACCTGTGTTTCACCGACAACATTCTTACTTTTTTAAAAAAAGAGTGTGAAAATAGCCATTAGCTGAGTGAGAGTTGAAGCAGCAGTGTAACACATGTGTTGGTGACAGGGTGATCCAAGAGAAGAACCTGTTCACAAATTTAAACAGCAACCTCAATCTTAGTGCAAGGGTTTGGTTGTGGTTGTCATTTGGACAGTGGCACCCACAGATAGAGAAGGCATAGAAAGCAGGTATCTCAAGTAGCACATCTTTTTGATGTATATGTTTCCCCCCAATTCATTGTGATAGCGACATTAGATCTACTCATGAACTCATGCCTCCATCAAAGGGTATCACTTCTGTAGTGTGTAGAGCTTCTTGGGTAGAAATGAACTTTTGTTTCCAAGAAATGAAATGACTGGATAGACAATCCAAGGTGTTTGTATGAAAGATTAGCACATCTTCTGATTTATCACAAACACTTAGGTGAACTGCCAAGTTATGAAGTTTAAAGGGAACTGGAAAACTTTAAACAATTCTACACAGTTACGGATCATTGTTCAAGAGGTTTTAATAAAATTTGATATTTTAAACCTCATACTGTACATTTAAATTTACATTAGTCTCAGATAAAAAATAGTTTTCTTACAAAGTACATTTTTCCAGTGAGCTCTTTTTTATTGCAGTAAAAATAGCTGCTACACATCTTTCTCCTAATTGCTGAAAAGGAGTCGGAATTATTTCCAAAAATAGAATTCATATTTTAATCAGAATAATTCACTTTGGATGGGGAAAAGGGATGGAGAAAAGGTCAGACCAAAGGAAAAAAATTAAGGTTATATATAAATTTTTAAGAGAACATGCACAGAAGAGGTATTCCATCAATAAATATATTTTAACCAATATTAACAATTTTAATTGAGAGAAGTCAGACTGAGTCTTCACACTGGGAACTGCACTATCACACATCTGCTTAAAATGATCCATTTGGCAACCATGGATCATGCTGCCTTGCCCAGCAGAGGCACTTACTTAGTATGTGCCTAGCTTAACCTATCAAATCCCTTTGTAGGTAAACATCTTCCAAAATGCCATAGACACTCCTTTTCCATAATAAAATATTTGCTTCCATCGTCTTTCAGATGCTTACATTAGCTTAAATTACAATATACAATATCTATTAAATAGGAGCATAAATTGCTAGAGAATTTTATGAACATGCTTACACACACAAGCATACACACATACACAAATATACAGATCCTTGAAATGGTATAAAATGTCCTTGTGAGGAATCCTTGCCATTACTCCATCTTGGTCTGAAGCTATGCAACTTGTTTGTGTATAGTAACACACACACATACATACACACGCACACACACACACTGAGAAAATGCCCAATGCAATGTCCTTTCAGCACCTGTGTTAAAGGACAGTTAGCCTTTCTCTTATAATTACAGATGTCACAAATTGTAATATCTGCAAATTTGCTCTTTTAGGTGGGTTTCTTTTCCGCTAGAAATTCCAATGGCTATCAGTCTTTAGTATAGGCAGTGCCCTCAGTTATATGGCAGTTTATGCGACCGAAAGACCAAAGCCTATTTCTAATCTTCACGTTGCAGCTATGCTGATTTCACACAAAGGTGTTCAAAAGGGTAGAAAACATGAAGATCTGAAAATGAAGAGCCTGATAATAAGGCTGCTTTGCTTTCCTTCAATTTCCCCTGACTCAAAAAAACACCCCTACTTCTTTAAGGTCACATTAACAGTGCACCATTCCAGTCAGAAGATAAAACCAATGGTTGATGCAGAAGGTCCTGATTCACAGTTCATGCGCTTTTGCACTCTGTGTAAAAGCCACACAAGCTTGTTAGGCTCAGTCCTCTGTGTCCGGCTGCACGCCTAACATTGCATGAAGCTCCTCTGCCGTATATCCCAACAAGTTCTGGAGGTCACATACAAAGCGATATACGTAGCGCTTCCCTGAAGTCTTGTGAATGATATTCTTATCATAATAATAGCGCAGGCCACGGCTCAGCTTCTCATAATTCATTTTGGGCTTGTTCTTTCTTCTGCCCCATCGCCGTGCAACCTTAAGCAAGAAGAGAAAAAGCTTATTTCATTTAGTCAAGGGCTGTTAAAAATATGTTAACGTATTTGGCAATTCAGGCATTTATCTTGTTTCAAATACTATGAACCTGAATCGCCAGTAGCTGTATGAGTAAGGTTAATATGGAATGACTGGGAGAAAGAGCTATACTGTAATACAAACTTCAAATTATAACCAAATAAAATACTCTAAAAAAGAAAAATGCAAAGTAAGTGTTTGGTCTATAAGTAAAAATGAAATGCAGGTTTGAGAAATAGTATTTATTATAACAATAATCATGTGCTGTCAAGACAATTCTGATTTATGGTGACCCTTTTCAGGGTTTTCCAGGTAGAGAATATTCAGAAGTGGTTTACCATTCCCTTCTTCTGAGAGTATCTTGGGACTGTGCAGCTTGTCCAAGGCCTCACAGTCTGGCTCTACTCATAGGAGGCACAGAGGGGAATTGAATTCCCAGCCTCTGGCTCCATAGGTAGGCACCTAAACCATTGAGCTATCCAGCTGGGCACTATTTATTAGGACTGCCAAAAAAAAGTTACAAAACGGCCCAAAGGTGGCAATAGCTTTTTTATCTGATCTACTGATTATAATAAAAGAATCAGTAAATAAGCTTTTGGTTCCTCTAGAACTTTTTTTCTCAGACTAGAAATTTGTACCAAGTAAGGGACTTGTGAGCCTTTAAGAAAGGAAATGGGCAGTTTCCTGAGCTTCAGCCAGCCAATCACTGTGCGCTCCTAAAAAGCTGTAAACAGATACTTTAACACATCCACTGAGTCTGCCTTCCACAACTTGCAGCTGGAGACACACAGAATGAAACAGTTATCTGATGCTTAACAGATTTCCAACCCTTTCAACAGCAGTGATCCTATTCTATTTCAGAGTTAGATCTTAAATTTAAAATATCTTCTGAATGGACCTTGCTTTAACAGTTCATTAAGCACCATATTTTATTTAAAGTCAAGAGCTAACAAGTTAATTTGAATATGTATCAAATGCTTTTTACAGATCTAGTTAAATGTGAGTGACAGGCACTGCCTACCTAAAATCCAAGCTAGAAAAAGTTACGGTTTTGGCCTACAGCTCCTCAGAATACTTCAGTCTGATGGTTGTGCTGGCTAGGAAATTCTGGGAGCACTGGCCATAAAGGTTCACTTTTCCAGATTCTGGTAAATTCACGTTAAGATCTTTAGCAAGCTATATTCTTACACATTCCTGCTTACTATATGGTTAGAGTATAAGCTTCTGAACATGGTGATATGCAGGCTTCCACTTTCCTTCCTAGGAATCCCACAGAAATAAAATCAACAGCCATTTTTCATCCATGATAACCGAGCTACTAACCTCATCTGGGTCAGCGAGTTTAAATTCCCATCCATCTCCAGTCCAGCTAATGAATGACTGACAAGATTTGTCCGTTAGGAGCTCTAGAAGGAACTGCCACAGCTGTATAGGCCCACTACCTGTTATATAAAGATAAAGTTATTAAAAGTATTTTATACACTGAGAGAAAGAGTGAGTGAGAGAGCGAGAGCACAAAATGGACTACCTCTCAACAGGTGCTTATTTTAGGAAAAAACTACATATTTATTTTAAGATCCTCAGGATTAAGAAATAAACCTGTCAGAATCGCTATCAGAAGATCTACATTAGGTAGCATTAAACTCATTGTAGATCAAAATTTTTGTTTTTAAAATTCAGAGCAGAGGTGTGAAGGAAGGTGCCTTCTCTCCCTCCAAACTGTTGGTTATAGTTTCCAGTCCATTATAAAACACATTTCAGATTAATAGCATTTTAGAAAAGAATTAACTGGACAAGACACCAACTGGACATGTTACCAAACTCCAGATTTATTTGGTGTTCATATGGCTGCCATATCTAAGGTTTAATTAATACCTGTTTTCACAGCAAATACAGCATTAGGCATCAAACTAGTTGGCTGCGCTCCCATTATATCCAATAAGGACTTCTCCCTTTACTCCAGCAGAAATGCACGTTCATGGGGGAATCAACAGCAAAAGAAAAGGACAGAATCCCAAAGGCAAAAAGATTAGGAAAATAACACACTTGCCTGTAAAGCCTGCTAGAATTGCTGCAGGTATAACTGGTTTTCCTTGCTCTACAGGGTCACTCCTTTCTTGAATATAGTCTTTGAAAGACATTGTGGGTTTGTTTAGGCACAAGGATTGGTTGCAATCATCTTCAAAGCTCTCATAGCTCTCATAGGATGGCACACGCTGAACGTCTACTAAGGAAGATTGGCTATTCCAGGACTGTAGCAATGAATCTGAGCTCTCATAACTTTCTGTGCCACTGTCACTTGAGTCATGCTCTCTAGGTTTACCTAAACAAGCAGAAGAAACCATTGTAAATATGGGTTTACCCCGAGATTTTGAAGGAGGGGTATTAATCCTAAAATTAAAATGAATCGGATCTTAATTTGTTGTTTAAACTGAGATTAGAACTGACATGGCAGAGAATACAGACCCAGAACTCCACCTCTCTTTAATTTTTCAATGAAATTAGACTATAGTGATTTGTTTACAATTATAGTTATCAAATACACATACTACTACATCTCCAAGTCACCATTACTTAGAGATTTTTAAGTCCTTTAGAACAGCGGTCCCCAACCTTGGGCCTCCAGATGTTCTTGGACTTCAACTCCCAGAAATCCTGGCCAGCAGAGGTGGCGGTGAAGGCTTCTGGGAGTTGTAGTCCAAGAACATCTGGAGGCCCAAGGTTGGGGGCCACTGCTTTAGAAGAAGCATTTTTGTCTAGTTGTGGTCAAACAAAACAACAGCTTTAAAGGCAATATTTCCTACTTTCTAAATATGACATTTACAGGGAAATCACTGAAATCTTAATTGCAAGTGTTTTGCTGTTGTTGTTTTTTTGTATGTTGAAGGCTACTTTACTGAAATTTATCAAAAAACACACAATGAGTTCTCCACAGTGAAAAAATAATGGTTTGTGGGAGCAGCTGTTAGATGGAAGAAGGGGCATTGAACTCAGTGAAACCAAAAAAGCTGCAGAAACAGCTTGTGTATTTGAAAACATGAGCACACGACAGCAGTTTTGTTACATCAGATACATTTTGTCTCTAGCAGTTAAAAATAAATATTAAATAAGATTACATAGTAGTCATGGCACATACACTTACCAGAGTTATCCAACAGCAAGTTCAGATTGTTTCTTGTGAAGTCCCGATTCATGGAGCAGTAGACACTGACTGCTTCTAGCTGCGATTTAGGATACATCGGAAATTCTTGCTTTAAATTAACTAGATTTGGTCCAGCTGCTGTCTGACATAACTCACCCAAATGGCTAGGTTTGGGATAGTTTGGAGTTTTCTGGTAGCTGGATACTTGAGCACAGTAATGTGCTTGATCAACGTCAATACCTAAAAAAAACAACAACAACAAAAATAGGCATTTCTTTTTCATAAGAGTCCCTGTCACACACTCTAGAACAGTAGAGCAATACATAAATGTTTCTGCAGAATCCTATCACTCTCCTGTCCAAAAGTTAACTACGATGATAGAAGCAAATCTCACTGATATCAGTATTCCCACCTGTCCCTATCCAAATAAATTTGTTTTTAGCAATGGACTGTTATTGTGTCCTTAAAACCCTTTTTTAACAATCACTACATTTCTTTCAAAAAGGAGGTCAGACAAAATACTGATGTCAACCAGGTACAATGTCTTTCTTTTATTTTTTTAAAAAGTCTTGCAGGTGAATCTTTGGCCCTTCCAGCATGGCCAATGGTAGGGGTCTTGTGGGAGTTTTATCCTGTGGCCCCTTAAAAAAAACAAACCAATAAAATAAAATAAAAACACACACCATCATCTGGACCAAACCTCCACATTAGAATGTTGTAGCCTTATCTCTTTATGTTATTCCCACATGTTTCAAAACACCCACAGCTACTAGGGTACCTCATTTGGAATACCAAAACTGGATACACTCTGTTTTGTTCAACTGCACTTTTGATATCAGACACAGTCATCCCAACTTTGCTAAGCAATGGACTGAAAAAAATTAAACTACAGTGGTGCCTCGCAAGACGAGTGCTCCGTTTTATGACAAAATCACATTACGATGAAGTTTTTGCGATCACAAAATGATGTTTCCTATGGGGGAATTTTGCTTGGCGATGATCGGTTCCCTGTTTCGGGAACTGATTCTTGCAAAATGTCGATTTTCCTACACCTGATTGGCGGTTTCAAAATGGCCGCCGGGGAAAAAAATGGCTCCCCGCTCTTTTCTGGGATGGCCTCCTTGCTGCACAGGCAGCGAAAATGGCCGTGCTATGGAGGATCTTTGCTGGACGGTGAGTTTCAAGCCCATAGGAATGCATTAATCGGGTTTTAATGCATTTCTATGGGCTTTTTAATTTCGCTTTACGCTGTTTTCGTTCTACAGCGATTTCGCTGGAACAAATTAACATCGTAATGCGAGGCACCACTGTACAGAGCAAATTATGTCTCACATGACACAACACATCTGAATAAAAATGTGTTGAACTAAAAGAAGGGAATTACTTGTACAGGACACTGTAAATATATATTTGGCTTTTCCAATCTCAAATTTCCTTCTTTCATTTCTGTCAGTCTATGTGGATCTGAAAAAATGTTTGGAACTCTATTAATAATTCCTCCTCCATTCAATTACTTTGCCACCAACTCTCCTAAACCTATGTTATATACGTGTATATATATATTAAACTGAATTGAAAGTAACAAGAACATTTTTTGAAATTTGCTGAACCTGGATGCACAGACATACACAGCACTCACTCAATTTTGTGTACAACTCAGGTATACAATGGGAGATCCACCTGCATCCGTAGGAAATGCAAATACCTAATAACAGTAGTTTGCCTAATTTAAAGACACTTACCTAATGTATTGTTGTTGACCCAGTGTGGGGATGAAGTGAGATGGGAATTTTCTATATATTGCTCCTGTGGCTTTTCTTCATTATCTAAAAGCAGAACAAGCATTTTCTGAATGAATAGTTGCAAAGAAGAATTTGTTCTGATAATGTTAAATACAATATGTTTCATACTGGCCACAGTCAGTTTTTTTTTCATTGATATCTCTCTAGCCTAATTTTGCCAGATCAGTATCATGATCTGAAACATAAATGAGCCCATCTTAAACACTATTAGGCATATGTACGTCCCACTAATTTCCACTGAGTGGTGAGGAGAGTAAAATCTTAGTTTTCCTTTTTCAATCAGTGGAAATTAAGAACATTTAATGATGGTGAAACTGCGCTCTGACATGGGGCTAGGATTCCATCTTGGGAATATATTTATGCACCACAAATAATAAGCTTTCATTTTGGCTTCATACAATTACCTTTTATCATCTGGTCCAAGTGTTCCCACAGAATATCGCCCACATAATCAGGTGCAAGTTCCAAGAAGTGCTCCTTTCCCAGGTTGCATAATTCTTGGCCATTCATAGCAAACCTCTCAAAGTTCACATTTGCCAAACTGAATTCATTGGTAGCCCAGAGAAGCCACTGACACACCTGCTGCTGTGTCCATAGCCATGGATCTGGAAAAAGTAAGACAGGCTAATTAACAACTTCAGAGGAGAGACCTCTTCCAATATTCATTTTCAAACATAGCACACACTATCTGCAAATGAGACTGTGATGAACTATTGGGTACATTAGCAAAAGCATTCAATTGCTGATAAGTTGCCTATCCATCTGAGTGTCTTGTGTTGACTGCTGACTCATTTACAGTCAACACAAGAAACTTAGTAAATTAACTCAGACTATAGTCTGATATATAGGTTTGGGCCCTAGTGAGAAAAACGAAATTTACTTTCAAGTAACACATTTACGATAAGAGCATCACCTAGCAAAAACTCCCAGTGTTAACCAATTAGAATTATCTTGTGCATTAAAAAAGTTTGCAGGGGTGAAGTGACTTACTGCTTGGAATGCCCAGTCTGCGCTGTTCTTTTGCAAATCCACTGAATGTTGCTTTTAAAGCCTGACTCATCACAGCCTTGCTGCATGGAGTTAAGAGAGGCAATTCACAGCTGTTCGATTCTGAAGAGTAAGAATTCCGATGTTATAAATGATGAAAGCCAAAGGGGGGGACTTAATATTTTTATATTTGTAGAAAGTGCATATGAGGAGAAAATATTTATGTTTCTTTTCTTTTTCTGAAGATTAGAAAAACACTGAGAAGTCTACAAGCTCATTGCATACAGTTTATAACTGTACATGAACTGTAAATATGGCAGTTCTGTTTTAAAACCACATTACTTTGGCCAGAATCCTACTGCTGATTTATGCTTGCATAAGGGAAATCATGTAAGTGTTGATGGCAAATTGCCACTCATTAATGAGATGCTGGTTGCATTCCCGACTGTGAGCCTAATTGGAACATACTCAGTAATTCAAACCAGCCCATGGTTAATTAGTGACAATTTGTCACCAAAACTTATATGATTTCCCTTACACAAGCTTAAACTAGCAATAAGATTCTGGCCTTTGCTTTTAAATGTATTCTTTTACTACAGATTCCAAGTACAGGACCCTCACATCAAGAGCAATCTATTTGCAAATCAGAATGTGATGAACTATTGAGTAGAGTTAACTGACATATTACATACAGAAGTCCCTTGTTATGAGTAGAACTAGACGAGTCTTGTAGCCTGATCTATTTCAAGGGTGGGAATAAAAATTAATTTATCCTGTTCCTTTGTTTGGAATAGCTTCTATTTAATTTTCAACAGATCAGATCAAATCAATCAGTGGGCAATATCTTTGTATGGAGGGATAATAAGAAGCCACAATTACACATAACAGCTGATGCCCATATGATCATGTTAATATATGTGTTAGGGATAACAGTGTAATGTCTATAAACAGTATTTCTGTACATATGAGACCAAGACATTTCTCATCTAAATATACAATTAGAAATTTTAGATGATCAATGGCTTTGATCATCCTGCAGAATGTCATTTCTAATTCCTTAGACAGTTAAAAGTTTCAACCTGTTAAGAGAACCTGTTCACTAATGTAACAGAACTGCAATATTTATAAAATCATCATTTACCGTAAGAAATAGAATCAAGGCCTGTAGGCACTTCTTGGAGAGTCTGATCTTCATTTAATGAGGGGACATATCCCATAAAAAGAGAATTTGCAGCTTCAAAGCTATCAAAGGCAGGTTGCCGCTGGAAAAAAGAAATAAAAGTGAATGTAAGTATTTTCTTGCATTTACAATAACATGCTTATCTTACAATGGAACAAAATGTGACTCTCCAACTGGAAACACAACATCAAATTAGGATAGCAATGTCTCTTTTCCTGTTCTACAGAATCAGTGCAACACATTCATATAAATCAATTTCCAGGAATCTTAATCTTGTGCTGATTTTAACAGTCTCTTTTATATTGAGCAATCAATTCTAGATAATATTCTCTTTTCTCTGATGTCAACTAAGTACTGTATTAGTGGCTCTTGTAGACTTCTTGGTTTACTTACACAATAGCTCAAGTACAAATCTGGGAAGTTCCCCATACAAATCATTAAGACTTGGAGCATGTCAAATTAACATTTTACCAATTAAGACTGCAAGATTTCCCTCTCTGACTTATAAATAAACCTTTTAAACTTAGTGGAACTCACTTCCATGCAAAGATTTGTACTGTAATGTAATATTTTGCACTACTTCACTTCTTTACTTTTGTACTTCTTATATGCAAAACTGTCTACATTTGAATGATCGTCCCTTATTATGAAACTCAGGAGAGGAGCCATCTACTTCATGATCTTTATTATTTTAGAAATCAAGTTCGAAAAAAATCTTTCTCAGACTACAGTATGTTGGCTGTTTCTTTCTACTGTTATGAAACAACAAACATTTGGAAAATTAACAGAACTAGGAAGGAATACAATGGGATCATTCTTACTCAAGTTTTTCCTGTTTTTAATTTAAGAGATAAATAGACATACCTAATGTTTTTAAAATGAACACTGGCCACTTCTGCATTGTTTAGATAACAATGGAATGCATATTGGGTGTTCTATTTTTAACAAGTATTCATTCATGTACAATGCTATCCTATGCATGCTTAGCTAGAAATTAGTTCCACAATGTTCAAGTGGGATATATTTCCTATGCCAACTGTCCATCCTAAAAATCTGCTCCAGTGACCTTGGAATTCCTCTAAAGTAAATTTTCAGAGAGCCACCTCGAGGGGAGGGCAACAAAGAAAGTCAGAATGGGATGTATGTAACTCTCAGTAAGTATATTCAATATAGCAGTGTCTGATGTGCACCTTGACTAACTTCTGTCAAAAATGAACATGTGATGTAAGGATGCTCTAAGAGACCACAGACATTTTGACCTTATACATGTCAATTTAGAAGCAAGCCCCATCAAGTTCAAAGGGGCTTACTTGCAGGTAGGGCTATGTAAGACTCCAGTGTATTGGTCATACTATAGTTCGGATTAACTCATTTTAAGAATTTCAAATTGTCAGAGCAACAGCATTCAAAGAAGGTTTTGTCTCAGTTCAGGATGAATCTTCTACTGATTGCAATCTTTATTTCAACAAAACATGTCAGAAAGCGGAGACCCTAATGCAATCTACATTACAGTATTTTTCAGACACATGAGTGTAATAGTTGGTTTTAGCACCAGAAGATCAAAGTGCTATTTCGTCAAAGTGGTTTTGACCCGAACAAAGGAACTGTTCATATATACAAACTAAGAGTAAGAGAATTCAACATCAGGAACCCATTTGATAAATTTGCTGTATAAATGAAATGATTAATAATAAGCCAGCTGTCTAGCCTTCTAACAACAGAGATTCTTTCAGTGTTATTAGATAAAAAATCTGACTCATTCCCAGTACTGAGGGGAAAGGCAAAGCACTTGCAACATAATCTGGAAACTCCTGTGTTTTGTGTAAATAAGTGACCCCTATTCTGAGTCACTGGGAAAAAAATGTAACCTTATAAGAATGAGTAAAAGGCATGCTATACTTTAAACATTGTTCTGCATTTTTAGGACATGAATCTAAACAGTACAGTGAACATGTTTACAGCCTACATGGATTAAAGCCTACTAGGCACATGAGCAATAAAATTTTATTTTCACTGCCAGAGTTCCTAAAGAATAGTGGAAAATAACACTCATTCACAAATCCTGAAGGACTGGGAACAGCCGTACAGTGGTGGAAATGTGCCCTGAAGGCTGATATGAGTCAACCATTATACAGCTAATATGCTTTGTCACATAGCCAGGCCTACCAGCAGAGAACACAGCCCAGGTTAATAAGCATCTACCACAAGGCTTACATCTTGTATTATTATTTGACTTGTTTAACTAAGTGGGAACACAAGCCCTTCTCAGTTTATTACCAAATTAAGACATAAGTAGCTTAACTTCAGTTAGATATTCTATCCATGATTCCTTGAAAATGCTGAATTTCAGATAGCATTAACAAGAAAAGATTTAAAAACACTGCTATTACACACAATTTATAGTTGCCTTTTAAAAGAAAGATTGTATCAAGATTATCAAATCACACTAAAACATAAATACAGAAGTAACATTCCATGTAAAGGTGGTAGGGAAGCCTGTAGCTCTCTGGAGAGTATTGGACTACAATGTCCTCCTTCATGGCCACTGGCTGAGCTGGCACTGAAAGTCTAGTAATATCACAGGCTTCACATTTATGTTGTAAATAAAGAAGCTGCATTTATTTATTTATTTATTTTATATCCCGCCTATCTGGTCCGTTAAGACCACTCTAGGCGGCTAAAATGTAATAATGCTACTTGCATGTAATAATGCTACTCGAACACCCGCATATTAGAATTATTTTAACTGTATCAGTATAGCTTTGACTTTATGCATTTTTTTCACTTCAGTTGATGAGCCAGGATTTGACTTTTCAATTAGCAAAGTTAAAAACATATTTTTAACTGTACTCAATTTATTAATAGTCTAGACCCAATGATTAATTCAAGAGATGCTTCTGGGAGTTGCAGTCCAAAACTCCTGAGTAACCCAAGGTTAAGAACCAGTGGTCTAGACCCAATGATTAATTCAAGAGACTTCATTTTACTGTATTACTGAAAAAGTTTCACTATGGTTGAAACAGATTTTCAAAGTACATTCTTTCTGTACAAAGTACAAACAGAGTTTTATACTAATGCATGGAAAATATGCCTTGTGCAAACTGCCTGTTACTGAGCACACCATTTTGAAAAAACTCACCTTGAGCAGCCCTCTATACGCATTGCATACAGGTGCAACCTGATCCATGTTCTTGATTCCAAAGTCACTCATCTAAAAATGGAAAGAGAATTCTGTTTGTTGACAGAAACAACAAAAACAGCTCCCAGTTTATTTCTAAACAAGGTATCTATTATAATATACAGGAAGAGCATTCATAAATGCCCCAGGCTTTCATCATTCTTGGGAGGCAACACTAGTGAGGCAAATCTAAATCTGTAGTTTGCAGAAAATTATAACCATGCTACCATTAAAATAAGAAGGGTGGATTTGGTTTAAATCACTACCCAGAAATACCTGATTTAATCACGTGATCTCTCCAAATGTGTACTCTTGCTGGTTATAATCTTAGTACTGTATATATACAGTATTCTGCAATTTCTTTACAGAATATATATTTTTCTTTTCTATACACTGAGATATTCATTGCACTGTTTTCAGACATTGTATGTCAGTCAATGAATTGGGGATTATTGAAAATGGAGTCAATCTGGACATGGAGACCGTAAAAAGTAGGCATTGAGAAAAATAATTATTAGGTTCATTGTAAGCAGCATAGCACTTTGGGAGAAGATTAAATCCAAATTCATTCTGCTCCCTGCCAAAACATGCACTTTCAGAGCAAGAGAGAGAAAGACAAGGAGCTGACACTTTCTGCAATAAGTTACAATGGAACAAAAGCTAAAATTGCTACTCTTAAAGACTCAGCATCATTCGAAGAAACTAGTGAAAACAATTATGGATTTTTAGTAGGATTCTAAGAATTTCTAACATTATATCATATTGACAATTTTAAAAAAATGAAACATTTTAACAATGAAAAAATGACAGATTTAAATTTAAAATTCAATTTATATTTTTAAACATCAATTTTTCAAAAATTCCTACTGGGCCCATGTCTTGCACACACTGTAAAGCAATTGTTTGGATCCCAGGGAAGGTTTGGAGGCATCTTTCTATTGGAGCCTTTACATCAGGGGGTAAGGCCTATTTCATT